TCGACACAGCATGATGAGATGAGTCACCATCCGGGTGAGTCCACTGCAGACAACATAGGACTCAGAGACCGTTTCGAGCTTAGTCAAAGCGTGAACAAACACCAACTTGTCGATGTTGCTGAACAGCCGATGCATCACCAATATTAGGTGCTTCGGTGCCAGTGCAGCGACCAACTGTGGGAAGTCGGCCACATCGCAGAACAGAACGGTCACATCTCCACAGCGCCGAGCGAAGGTTTCGATCTCTAGTTCAGAGACCGCTTCCGGGATGTGAGAGCTCGAGCGGCCCCTCCTTGACTGCGCGTGTGAAGACTCAGCATGACCCCCGATTCGAGCCGCAAGATCTCGATTTCGGTCGATGATAGAGTCAACCACGAACTCGGGAAGCATGTTGTTGAGAATCTCCCTACTTCGACTTTGCTCAGTTCTGGAATTGAGTGAGAACAGATAGCAGCTTCTCTGGTTCAGCTCGTTCTCGTAACCAAAAACTAGGCTCATTAACGTTATCCCAAACACCATCGGAAAATAGTCCATCAGCTGGCAGAAGCTGTTATGGTAGACCATACCGCAGTCTCGCGGTTCAAGTTTATGCACGCCAGAATCGTGACGTAGCTCCAAGTCGTATGCAAGGTATAGAAAGACGAAGAGAACAGAATGGATGGAAGATATGGCGAGTGCTTTCGGGAATGGGATTCGCATGATGATGTTTATGAAAAAAGGAAGCCAAGCGACAATGTGAGCATCATCTACCATGGTCGCCATCCTCCTGACATAGAATGCCAACATCGAGAAGAATGCCAAGGCGCTTAACATAGCATCAGAATGATAGCGAAATAGGCGTGTACTTGTTGAGCAGTAAAACGCGATGACAACGAGCAAGGCTACACCGAGAGGCACGGAAAATACTCCTGGCCGAATCAACTCTTCAGTCACGCCCCAAGCAAACTGATACAAGACCATGGCTTTGACGGATAATCGGGCTTGTTTGACAGCCTCACCCTGTGAGTGCCTCAAGTAGCTAGACTCAGTGGCAAGGCTCTTGAACCTCAGTGTCCTCGGATTAACTCTCCTCACTATTTGCGGGCGATCGTCGTCCAATGTGGACCATCTGAATGCAGCCTCCCAACGGCCTCGGATCAGTTCAACCATTCGTTGGAGACTGAGTGACCGAGACTTCGAACGAAGAGCGATTCCCTCATCCAAAGATTGAGGGTCTGCTAGATTCCCGCTCAACGATAGTGAGAGACCATCCACCTTGCAGGGAAAGCTATCCTTGAGCCTCGCAGCGACGTAGTACAGCCCTCGTTTGAGCCATTGACGAGGAGCAGCCGCCAGCCAGCATTGCAGCTTTTGCGCTGGAGTTGCCGTTCCTCCCGAGTAAGTGAATAGCCTTTCCAGTATAGTTAGAGAAGCGCCGACGCCGGTCACAAAGACGAGTAGCAGCCAACTGACGATTGACCCTTCCCATAGCATCTGCGCCACATTACTTGCTCCTGACCATGGCCGGCCAACCCGAGAATATATCGACAAGAATGGTATGAAAATGCTCATGGATCCGAAGCAGGAAACTAGAAAGAGAAAAGATAGATGATTAGCGAGAACGACCAGTATAAAGTTGGCAACGACCACCACCGAATAGTAGACAAGGTTGCCCATGTAAGCATAACCCATCACTTCGCCACCAGAACCGGATGGGTAACTCATTCCAACCGCGACAGGGGCGTAGACGACTACAGCACAGACAATCGCTCTCAAAATCCACGCGATGAACTTCCTCGCATTGAATGAGATTGACTCTCTCCCTTCAACATATACGATGGGATACCTCGCAACGACCCAGCGTGGCAGGGTAATATCCATGGCGCCGATGACTATGATGGGAAGGGAAGTCCAGAAGACATTGTAAGACATCAAGATCCAGGAATCGTACAGGGAGGTACCGGTGAACGCATTGCTCAAGGCGAAAAATACATTCGGCAATACCAGGAAGATGTTCTTGAAGAAGGAGTAGAGTATAACAAGGGAAATACGGTTGTAGCAGTCTCGGCCGTGGATTAACATCAGCTGTCCGAGGTGAGAGAATGTGGCAATGGCGTAGTCTGAGGCTCTCACGGCCTGCATTCCTTCGCTCCCAATGATTCCAATACCGATGTTGGCCACCTCAAGCATAGGAACGTCGTTAGCTCCATCGCCTATAGCCAAAGTGATACGATCATCTGCTTTTTTTAGCAGTTGAACGATCAGTGCCTTCTGTGATGGTGAACAGCGACATGCCACAACCGACACGGTACTCATGAGCACATTGGCTAGGATCTTCAAGTTATCCCTCGATGAAGCGAAACATGATATTGCCGAACCGTCCAAGACGACGCACAGAGAGTTCATTTTTCCATTGGCCATCCATTGTAGGTAGTCTTCATCGAAGGTCTTCCGTTTTTCAAGTACGAAGGCATCCGCCTCTCCTTTATTAAACTTAGTCTCTGCATGAAGGCAGAGATCCGACACAATCCCATCACGAGGCAAAAGCTCAACTGCTCGAGCTATGTTCAGAGACGTCTCGAACCGATCCCCCGTGAGCATCCAAACCTTGACACCTGCATTCAGCAATCGGAAGACCGTTGATTCGACGCCATATTGTATCTTGTCTTCTACAGCAGTGGCCCCGAGAACGATAAGGCCCGTCTCGAACTTCTCGGCTACTCGAGCGAAACGATCAGCTCGATTCGTTATGGAGTGCCTAGCTTCATTCAGGGCTCCAAGATACTCTGAGGTCTCGACTTCATCAAGGTATCGCATCGCTAGCATGAGTGTTCGAAGGCCAGCCGATGCGAATTCATTGATATCAAAAACCGTTTCCTCTCGAACATCCCGGACAGGGACCCCACATAAATCGATAGTTGAGGCCTCTCCAACATCTCTCTGGCACAGTTCAGCCATCACGTCGTCTGCACCCTTCACCAATAGCATAGACCCGCGACCATCAGGGATATAGGCGACGTCCCTCTTCATCAGTTTCAATGGTCTTCATGATTTGGACGAGAATACTCATGCGCTT